ATACTTGTAAATATATATTTGTAAGTCCTCCTGAATACATCAGAAGGTTAGGTTCTATATAATAATCTAATTGTGTTGTTAAGGTACTAAACTTGCATTGTACAGATTCAGCGCTTAAAATAAATATACAAAAAAAAAAAAAAAGATTCAGTAGGTACCAGAAATTAATTTTATTAAACTTATTTTAGCTTAATTCTTAAATTAAACAATTTTTTTTTATTATAAACTTAAATTAGTTTGGGTTTTTAGATCAATATTTGCCTTTGTGATTAATTTAACAAGCATAGCAGACAGCAGTATGTAATTGTATTGCATACTCCTAAGCTGCTCGTTTGTATAACAGCCCTGTTTAAAATTCAGCCAGTAAATTCTGTTTGTATGTCGTTGCACATATCAGCAGACAGATTTCATTAACAATCTTTGCACTCGCTCGTTTAATGTCTTTGAGTAATTGGAAAATGTGTGAATTATGTTAATATATTTGGACATCAATGTGAAAAACAAAATCGCAATTTATTTATTTGATGWGTGTACGATATTTGTGAATTTATTTTTATTTCGGTTAGAGAGAACGTGCTGAGGTCAGCCGCGCGACGAGAATTGTTTATGCAATTGAGATTGAAATAAATACTACAAACGCACTCTGGCTGCCAATAGAGCTGGCTATTTTAATATGCTGATTCTGCGGAAATTTCTACGCACCTCTTTGTTATTATTTCTCAATTATTGTTTATGTTTTAGTTGCGTTTCGATTGCCATGCTTAGCTATTGTACTTGAAGATAAATGAAAAACCCTCGCGTCGCAACCTTTGTTCGAGTGTTCCGGAAGTAAATCTCATGTACATTGTGCATACGTCATGTGCACAATCGCAGTCCAATTTCTCATTGCCTGTCGTTGTCGCTGAGCAGCCGAAAGGCCTTTTCGTAGACTTGTTGAATGACGGTCAAGGTTGGCGCTTGCCAAAAGCACTTGCCACACGGCACGTTCTACGAGTCGAGTCGAGCGAGCCGAGCGAGCAGGCGAGCAGCCCGCAGCGTTTCATTGAAACGCATCGCTTTGAGACATTTTTAGCCGGCTCAAGGATAACGCAGTGTGCCAAAAAGCGAGACGCATGTCAAGGCCGGCGTCAAGATTCGCCGCCACTAGCAGCTCAACGGCTACGGCTCAAGATTTGAGCTGACTATGACGGCACGGCGATTGGTGCACACAGTTCAATGCACAGCAATTCCCAGAGTCGGGAATCGAATTGAAAGTGGATGGGGTTATGTCATCGAGTTATGAGCGGCAGCTCTGTTTGTTGGCCTCAGCTGGCAATCGCGTTAATTTGCACAATATTTATAAATAAGGCCTGGAATGCGCCTCGCACGATGCGTTTGGGCATGAACCCAGCATCACATTTAATTAATTGGCAATTCGGTTCTGATCAAATCAGAATTTCTACCTGAACCGGTTGCACATTCAGCTTTCATTTTCGAAAGTTCCTGTTTTATTTTGAATATATTTTTTTTTTTTTTTTGACGTGCACAATTAGCATGAAATTGAAATCGAACAGCTAAATTTAGTGGCCACACTTAAATGTACTTTAGCCGGAAGTCATATACCTATACGTTTATTGTATAAATATTAAGCAAAGCTGATCTTCAATTAGCTGCCTTAATCACAGCTTCAGTTCGTGCCTGCCCCAAGCTGCTGCAGGGGGGCCACACAAATTGCATGTGTTTTGGGGGGGTCGTTCGCCATCTGGAGATTAAACCACATTAATGTTATGCAAGCTGCACGCACAGCTTCCCATAGATACACACACACACGCACACATGCACAGCTCTACATTCATTGCAAATTTGTAGCCATGAGGCTGGAGCTCAGCTCCTTTGCCCACGCTTTGAGAAATGTGCGACAATTAGTTCAGCGCTAAAAAAAACGGGTTTTGCAGTTTGGCTTTGGCTTCACATTGTTCGAGTGGGCGGCGCAATGCGTGCGCAGCTCAAGCAACAAAAAAAAAAAATAAAAAAAATAATAAAATAAAATCGAAAATAAAATACAAAATATATTGAAATATTTTAATAATAAAGTGAAAAAAAAGACAAAAAAAAAAAAAAAAACTAAATGTATATATAAAACATGCGAATACCTTGGAACCACAAAAAAATCGCACACGCACGGCCAACGATTAAGATACCGATTGGCGAAGTATGAGTACTTCAGCTGCAGCTCAAAACAAGTACATGATGTGCTGTGCTCAACCCGACTGCACGATGCCCTGTTTTTAGATAAAGTGGAGATGGAATAGAATTGGAAGTTGTAGAGCGAGCTTATCAAATGGGAACAAACTCAAGAGTGTTAGAGTGACAGAGGAATGCAGTAGGCAGAAGTAGGCGTGGCTAARGAATAGTAGAATAGAATAGAAAACGATTCTCAGGGTAGTAGAATCTGTAAGTTAACGGAATGCAGCAAAAATCTTATCCAGAGCTGAGCAAAGTTAATATACCCGTTTGATTCAAGCAAACACTGCATACAGAGAGCAACAAAAGCAACCGCAAGCAAATACCAATAGCTGGGCAACAATGCTAACGGCCGCTTTATGAACAATTACGAGCGTCTGAGCCGCAGGCGGGCAATCCGAAAGGTTTCGGAGCGAAGAGAAGGCGCCGTGCCGTGTGCGAGTGTGAGTCGAGTGTGGGGGCTGTAGGTGGGGTGTGGGAGGCGATGGGTACTTGGACTTGGCGTTGCATGCGTCACGCGCTCACAGACTTGGCACGGATCGTATGTCACAATGTGTGTGTGAGTGTGTGTGTGTGTGTGAAACTCATAAATGCGCATTTGTGTATCGATAATCAAATTCGCATTCAAAGCTGCGATCATGAAATCTATTTCATTTCGCTTTCACGTAGCTAACAAACAAATGCCTGCTATTGGAAGCTGTAGCGGTAGCTGTTGCTGTATCTAAGTATCTATGTATATATGTATCTTTGTATCTGTGTATTTGTGACCTAGTTACCTTCGCCTCAAACGGTTCTCGAGTGGCGATGCTGGAGCTGTGAATTGTTTGCTTTCAATTTGCCAATTGCGCAATCTTTCGCATCGACAATGAGTCGACAGATTTTGGATGCTTCGGCCAGGCCTTGGGGAAGACTCTTTCAAGTTCAATAAAAAGATRAACACAATTCATATATATTTTGTTTAATAATGATATATTTGCAAAGTATTACAATAGGTTTTTGATACATACATATACATATAAAAATATATATATTTTTATATATTATATAATAGTTTATTTAATTGGCACCTAATCGAATGCATAAATTTGTGATTTATGTCTGCACAAAAGAAAACTAAAAGCTAAAAATGAAAAATATTTTTATTCTCTCCTGTATTAAACCGTTTTGCTGTTTCCCTTTGCAAGGACAACCAAGTTTCCTAAGCCTAAGTGTTTATTAGCTAGTTAAAATATTGTGTAAGAATCAAGAACAAATTAATTGACAACTGAAATACAAAATGTGAAATCATAATTAATCAAAAAATCAAGTCAAATTGGAAAATGTGGCATTTCTGTTGCTGCTCTCTGCATAAACAAATTCTAAGCTAGAAACCTGAGACTCTAATTAACTTGATAGACTTGGATTTTTATTATAATTCTTTTTATAAATATTTTAATTATGGCCACTTACATTAAGTTCTTTACCATGTATAAATTTATAGAATTTCTAGTTCGAATTCAAACTTTCCCAAAAAAAAAAAAAAATAAATAAAATAAAATAAAAATAAAAAAAATAAAACTAAGAGTAACTAATCCTAAATACATATATAGTTAATTTTCTTCATAATTTTTTAACATTATTAGTTTAGAAAATTTTCCTTTAAAAATCATATTCCTATAAACTAATTCGAAATTTAGAGAAGAATTTCTTTTCAAATTATTTTCACTTGAAAATTTTGCAATATTTTGTTGAATTTCAAAACTTTGTTTTAAACGCTAACTAAGCAAAGTTTAAGCTAATTACTAATTGCTGGCAGTGATACTATGCAATTAAGTATATTTCTTAATAAGCTGGCTGCACAGTGGGGCAAGAGAGCGCAAGAGAAATGCCACATTTTCAGCACTCAAATCAAATTTCACTTATGAGCTACAAAATTCGTTAGATTATTGTTGTTATTGTATAAGAGTGTGGGCTAGGGGGCATGGTCATGGCGTGGTCGTGGTTCTGGTTCTAGTTCTGGTTTTGGTTGGTTCTGTGGACAGTTGGACAGTTGGACAGCAATCACAGTGTACAGCCATTAAATAATTTCACACATAATAGAAACAATAATAGATTACCCACTAAAATTAGTTAACAAATTGGCAGGCGGAGTCAGCTAGACGGGCGACACGGTCTGGCCGAGCTTGCGGGCCCGCTGGCCGAATCCCTTGCTGCCATCGGGGCCAATGGGCGTGCGCACCAGACTCTCGGCGGCTCGCTGGGCAAAGGAGCCCGAGCGCGATCGGGGCGAGCCGTCCAGGAAGCTGCCCGTGCGCGATCGGGGCTGGCCGTCGTAGTCGCCGCCGTGCTTGTAGTTGCTGAGGAAGCTGCCGGTGCGGGAGCGCGGCGAGCCCTCAAAGCCCTCGGAGCCGAAGGAGCAGCGGCGATCGTAGCCAGAGTCAGTGGAGATGCGGCGGCCGCCAATATACTGGGCATTGTCGTAGGCGGCCAGCTTGCTGTTCAGCTGCTGGAAGTTGTTGGAGTAGCGACGTGGCCACACCTGATAGCCACCGCCTCCGCCGCCCACCAGCTGATCCGGCTCGCGCTCGCGCTCGCGCTCTACATTGAAGTCGTTCGAGGGACGACGATAGAAGCCGTTGCCGTCGCTGCCATTGGAGAAGGTGCGCTCGAACTGAATGGAGCCGTTCGAGTAACGGCGCTCCCCATTGCCCGAGCAGCTGCCGTTGGAGCAGACGGAGCTCTTGCGATACGCGTCCGGCTGACCAAAGTCGGAGACGCGCCTGGAACAGGGACAGCTCTCCGAGCAATTGGAGTCGCGACGCTGCGGCGCCCCCGTCTCCGAGCAGTTGCTGGCGCGTCGCGACATGGACAGCGCCTGCGTGGCATCTGGACCGTAATTCTGCTCCGAGCAGTTGGACAGACGACGCTGCAGGCTGCTCATGGGCACAGCATTAGGATTGCTGCTGCTGCTGTTGCTGTTGCTGCTGCTGTTGGCGCCGACAGCGGCAGGGGGCGAGGAGGGCTCGACTAAGCCAGCGGCAGCTGTGTTCGCTGATATGGTGGACGTATTGCTGTAGCGCCTGGGCACATAGCCGAAAAAACCAGGAGATGTGGGCGATTGCTGCTGCTGCTGCTGCAGTGGCTCCATATTGATGCTGCCACGTGGCTGATAGTGCTGATAGCCATGGCCATGATAGATGGGGTGATGGATGGGCTGCGGCTGCTGCTGGTAGTAGCTCGGCTGGAAGTCCGAGTTGTTGCGCTTGAGCTTGAAGCGCAGATCGTGCATGGGCAGCTCGTGGCTGGGCATGCCGGAGAAGCTGCCGCCGCGTGTCCTCTCACAGTTGGCATCGTTGTAGTAGCGATAGTTCTCTACCATGCGGGCGACGGGTGCAGCGATCTGGATGACGGCTGCCTTCTTGCCCGTCTTCTTCTTGGGAGCGACCATCTCGTACACCTGGAAGGGCCCGGCCAGATGCAGTGCCTCGCGGGCCGACGACGACTCCAGATACTCGACCAGGGCGCACTCCTTCTGCTGCAGCTCCGGATACTTGTTCATGAACTGGCGCACATCCACGGGTATGGCCATGCCCGGCTTGAGAATGCGAATCAGCGCGATCTCGCCACACTTGGAGAACAGATCGGAGACCTTCTCGATGCTCAGCTTGTCCAGCGGCAGGTCGCAGGCGACAATGGTGCGCGAGGGCATTGTCTCATCGAAGCTGGGCAACGGCTCCAGCCGGCGCACCTTGGTGCCCTGCTCGTTCAGCTCAATCTTGCGCGACATGCGACGCACTGCATCGCCCACCACCTTCCACTCGCGGGTCAGCTGGCGCACGCGCTTGAAGCTGGACACCAGCTTCAGGCTGACGAAGCCCTCCTTGTTGCGGCGCACGTGCTTCAGCAGAAAGGCGTCCTTCAGTATGCTCTCGTTGGAGAAGTAGAACTCCACTGCGTCCGCTATCTCGGCAGCCAGCTCATCGCTGGGCACCAGCGACGGCTCCAGCGTATCAATCTCATTCGGTTCCACGGGCTGCTGCGGTTGCTTCTGTTGCTGCTGCTGCTGTTGCTGCTGCTGCTGCTTCTGTTGCTCCGTCTCCTGCTCAGCTGTCTTCTTTATGCTGAGGAACGAGCGATGCACGCGCTTCGTCTCCATCACGGGCGAATTGGCTGGCGCCACAGCCGGTGGGGGCGAGGAGTCCATATTGAAATTGGGATGCAAATAGATGTTGTCCACCTGATGCTTGCGGAACTTCTCCAGATTGGCCTCGCTGAGCGGCACAGCTGGCGGCGATGCCGCCTGACCTTCCGCCAGCTCTGGCTCCGGTATAATATGATTATCCACTGCCAGCGGCTTCAGCTCATCATCCTCCTCAGTCTCCTCGGAGTCACCGATGGACGAGCCCATGCCCACGTCCAGCAGCTTATCATCGCTGGCCGGCGACAGGGGCGGCGACATGGGCGGCGCACTTGGACTGCTCGTTGGCGCATCCTCGGAGCCGGAGCCGAACTGCGAGTCCAGCGATTCCATCTGCTGCAGCAGCGCCTGAGCCGAGCGTTTGGCATGGAGACGCAACAGCTTCGATGGCAGCGACGAGGACAGCGGCACCACAGCCTGCGAGCTGCAGCACGGCTGCTCCTCATCGTCGAGCTCCACCAGCTGAGTCGTGGATGGCGTCGTGGGCTTCATGACGGGCACAGCAGTCAGTATGGGTGCTGCTGCTCCTGCTGCTCCTGCTGCTGCTGCTGCTGCTGCTGCCACGGGACTAACCACAAAGGTGTGCCCCTGTGGCGCCTTGACCTCGTAGCTGCTGGCCGCCTCCTGCTCGCTCATTCTTGAAGATCTGCTGCTATATATTCCTAGTTGACAATTGGCTAATGCTCTGAGCACTGGGCACTCCAGCAAAAGCAGCTGTAAATTGCTATGACAACTGTTACCACAATTGTATCTGTATCTCTCTCTCTCTCTCTCTTTCTATCTTTTGCTCTATCTCTGTCTGTGTCTGGCTTTGTATCTCTATCTGCAGCTAGAGCTGTCGCTGTATCCGTAACTGTTTTTGCTATGCGTCTATCTCTCTTCGGTTTGTCTGTTACGAATTTCACTTTCACTTTCAAGTTCAGCTCGCTGGCGCTGTGCACTTACATTTGGCACTCACTGTCTGCATTTACGCTCAGCTCTGGGCGTTCATTGAACGTCAGCTGTTTATAGCTGTCGTTATAGTTGTTGCTGTTGCTGTTGTTGTTGTTGTTGAGTTTATTTATTTTTTTGCGTAATTCTGCAGCCTGGCTAAAAACGTGCTTGGAATTCTCGGACTGTATTTGGCTATAATTTTAGACACATATACATATAGAGTTTATATAGTATATACTATATATAGGTAGGGGTCTGATTGTTTTGTTTTCTAGGCCGCGCTTGACACCGACACCATTTGATAGTCGTTAAAAAACGGCACCGCAACAATTTTTTGTTGTTGTTGTTGTTGTTGCTTTTGGTTTAACAATTTCGTATGCAATTGGGTTTTTTTCTTTTTTTTGATAAAACATTTGTTGCTGTATATTTGATTTGTTATTATTATTCCGTTTCTTTCTTTCAGTTGTTGTTGTTGTCGTTGTTGTTGCCCGTGCGAGTTTCTTAATTATTTCCGTTTGACTGGAGGGTGTATGCCAAGTGCTCGTCGTTGTTGTTGTTGTAGTTGTTATAGTTGATTATTTATTTCACATATATGCAATATAAATATGTTGATCCGTTTACGTACGCGAGTTCATGCAACGCTGCAACGCGGAGATAGACTGAAATTGCAAATTGATTTGAGGTCGGTTAAATACCCTCTGCTTTCGTTTAATTTTTGTATTTTTTTGTTTTTCGTTTTTTTTTTTTGTTGCTGTTGTGTTTACAGCGACTGCCGGCGGCAGCGACGCCAACAACAGCAGCAGGCAGCAGCGGCAGGCAGCGACAGCAGGCAGCGACAGCCGCGTCGAGCGTTATTGAGCGGTCCAAGTACGCACGAAACAGCCGATAACAACAACAGCGACAGGGAGAGACAGCTGCGCTGACTGCGCTGCCAGCGGCGACAACTTATTGGCAACTGGCAACTGAGCAACACAGCAACAGCAGCAGCAGCAGCACACGAAACTTGTTGCGTTGGCAACAACAGCAACAGCAACAACATTCGCTTGCTGCATTTGTCAGGCTGCGTTTGTTGTTGTTGTTGTAGCTTTTGAATTTTATTTCTTATAAATTGTTCTGGCAAGATACAGCCACACACACACACACACATTGCGAGGTGCTTCCGATTTATTTATTTTGCAAATTTTAATTTTTTTTCTTTCGCAGGCTGTTTGCATTGAGGCAGAGCGAACGATCGCGCAATGTTCGCTCGCATTGCTCATACGCCGCGTTCGCCGACAATTTGGAAAGTGCTTCACTTGATTTTTATTTAGCTCTCACATTGAGTGTCATTGTTGTTGTTGTTGTTGTTGCTCTGCCGATTGGCGACCTTGTTGCATCCAATTTGCAGTCGAAACAAATTGCAATGCAGCATGCAAGTCCAGCATTCTAAAAAAAAGCACACACATACACACAGTTATCTATGGGGAAGCAGGAAGCGACACGAATTGACAATTCGCCGAGGGTTAACAAATGAGCAAGCAGGCACTAATGGAGTATCTGCTATGTAGTCTAGGTGTCTACTCGATAGAAAATCGGTCTGTGGGCAGGAAGTTTTCCAACAACTTCCAAGGGAAATGTCTACGAATTTGAAATGTATTCAAATATACATATTTTGTATTTAAGCATTCAAAGTCTAATTATATTAAGCAATTGTTTGAGTTGATGTCTGTTTATATTCATAACATTTTATATTTATTTTCATCTTTAATAATTTTATTGCATAGCAAAATTTTAAGTATTTAAAAATAGTTTTATTTAATAAAAAAAAAAAATAAAAAAAAAATAAAAAAATAATAAATTGCTTTAATTTTTATATGTTAGTAACTTTACAATTAATTTTGTATATATTTTATTTATTTAACAAATATTACTAGATTACTACAATGCCTTCAGTTTCCTCCAACTATTTCACCAACCTCCAAAATCTCTCACAATATGATCATATATGTATGTATGTGTGTATGTATTTATATTTATTTCAACTAACAATTCTTGCCAATATTTTATTTTCACACAACGTGAATTTTGCAAGTAGGTCAATAAATTTTAAAACTTGTTACATTCTTTTTAGTTACTTGAACGATTACTTTAGTTTTTTAGCTAGATTCCCGCTAACTGATTTCAAGCCAGCTGGCTGCAGTTTTCGCAATTCACTTGCCAAGTGCAAGTTCAAGTGCAAACTGCAACGAGAGGCGCCTCGACCGGGGCTCTTTGCCACACAGCCGTTATTCCGTTATTCTGCCATAGCGTAACTTTCTGTCGCTATTGCATTATAATCCCTTTAGTTGGCTTTCGCATGCAACGTTGCATCAGCTGTGACGCGAGGCGTTTGGCTTACCATATTCAATGAACTGATCAAATTATACAATCTCCAAGTGCTACAAACATTTGCAATCCAATTACGCATATTGTCAATGTATGTGTGTGTGTGTGTGTGTCGTGTGCGTGTAGCTAGAGAATTCTCGCTTACTCAATTTGGGCTAATGGGGCGTATGCTTGATGTTTGCTTGTGTCTCTGTTTTTTTTTTTTTTTTGCTACCTGTTCGATAAGGTCAGCTGTCCATTAATTGGCAATTGACGACAGGCACTTGCGGCCCATTTGATTTCGAGTAGTCATACATTTTGATTTGCCAACAAGTAAATTATGATTATTTTTTCAAAACAACAGCAACAACAACAACAACTACAACACACACAAAAGGCAAACTTAACCTTGCGGTAAAAGACACAACAGCCACAAAAATATAAATTCAAGTATTTCTCTTGGCTCGCCAGAAACAAAACAAATGATTTATTTATTTAGCAAACATATGTTTTTTTTTCTCTCTCTCTCTCTTTTGGTAATCTGTTGCTTGTCGCACAGCCTCGAAATATGAAAAAAGGGCGTATCTATCAAAAGACATATTAATCCGTAATTTTGGCCAAATCTAACCCGGAAATTGGCAAAGAGATTTTTCGCTCGCCTTGTTCAGGTAAGTCGCAGCTACTTAAGGCCCAGTTTGCTGGCCTAGACAGTTGGCTTACCAACTGGGATGTGTGTACGAGTATTTTCAGTGTAATTGCCCGACTAGTGGATACCAAGTAATAAACTAACATTCAATTTTGTGTAGATGAGGTAACAATGATTTCTATATAATATGAGTTCAATTTGAAGAACTTGGGAAAAGAGAATACATATTTCATTAGTTGGCAATATTGGATTATTATTTTATTTATTTTTAAAG